TATATATATATATATATATATATATATATATATATATATATATATATATATATAGCATGGGAGGACAGATGAACAAATAGCAGTAGTATTATGGTATTATGGTATAAAAGGGTAAATAGATAACACCAGTATTACGGTATTAGAGAATAGATGGTTGGACGGTAGTATCGCGGTATCACAATACGTATTTGATCCAAGATATTATGCGAGAATTTAATAACCATTTTAGGTGATATCCACAGTAATCATAGCATTCAGCTTACTTCTGTGCTGTGTTTGTACCTTATCACTATTCCTTTTCGGGATACCATCCCTAACCGTGATGGTATTATTATCTAATCTATCTGTCATTGTTGGTGTCATTGGTTTTGCAAATTATTGGATGATTCCCATTAATGCTATCACTTTATATATGGCTTTGGCTGGTTTCTTTTTTCTGTTGAATTTTTGATAAAACTAAATTCAAATTTTAATAATTTTAAACTTATTAATTAAATATTTGAAATAATTAGAACTATTCAAACGTTTTGGTTTGAAATTAAAGGCTTGCTGATTGTTGACCCAGAATTGCTGGATTAGCATACCAGAGTTCTTATAATTATGGCATCTTTTAATTGATATTATTAATGGAATATATTATTCTTATCATTTTGCTACTTACCTTTGTAATCAATCACAAGCTAAAATTTAGGAAATGCTTTAACAACTACAGTTGTTTCCTATTTCTGTTATAATTTTGCAACTGCTGGAAAAGGGCAAAAAACTGGCGAACAACGAGTACGCTATTCTTTCCAGGTTTACGTGATAATTTTTGTCTTTTGTTTTTTATTATTATTATATTTTCATTTTATTTAAAAATTAAAAATTATAACTATTCAAATTAGAAGAAAATTTGAAATTTTCAAGTAAAATGAAGAAAGAATGATTAAATAACTGTAAAATATAATCCATTCAAATTTATCAAAAGAATTCACAAATTAAAATAAAAGTTTTTATTGAATCTAATGGAAGGAATATTTGCAGTCATGTTTATTGCCGATAACCTTGGCATGTTTTGTGCCAGTTGTGACATTTTTGCCATTACTATTAACTGGTTTACTTGTGATGATGCATGTCTTCAAGATATTATTACTCACTTCATTTATCACTTACATTCATTTATTCCTTTTCTTGCCAAAGTAAGTAGTGATAATTGATAAGGATATTAACATGACTGATAA